ACACTGTGAGCAATTTTTCTGTGTACTTTGTGTTCTTACTTTATTATTCGTACGCGATAATTCTTTACTACTTTGTATGTTATCTTGGCAAAATACTCTTCTATTTGAACGTTACACTCAATTCGTAATATTTAATAATATAATACACCTTTGGCGAAATATCAATTCACAGACATACACAGAAATGCAAATTTAATTATTTGGCAAAAATGAAAAACAAGATTTTAATAAATTTTTTTTATTATCCTTGTTTATTTACTGTTTGTTGCGAAATAACTGTGAGCAAATGATTTAACTGTAACAGCATGAACAATAGTGAATTGTAGATATTTTGCTCGTATCTTCTTTAATTAATTTTAATAAATGGAAATGCAAAATATGGAGTCCGTGTATCTCGTTGTACATATAGAATTATTTTTGAACTTTATTTCTGTCTCTATTAGGTTGTTGCATATGGAATGGCCGATTTATAAGTAAAACCTTAAACCTCAATAATGCAGTCAAAATTAAATTTTATTAATCAGAATATGCTGCGGTAGATTCAACACATATCTGCCAACGAATTGCAAGTAAATTTAGCCTATTATTATAAAAATCTGAATATTGGCAATAAATTCCTTAAACGCATTTTTAATTGTAAGTGAAAATTATCGTTAGTTTCAGTTATTATAGTTATAGTTATCTTTAAACTAACGTTATATTGTCCGTTCACTAGCTGTTCCTATCCTAAATGCCGTATTAATATTTTGTATCGCCTCTGCTGCACTGTTTCAATTTGTAAAAGAAAATCACTTGAATTTCATTAGAATACATTTTCTACTTTTAATTATAACCATAACCTCGCGTTTTCAAGAAAACAAATCTCAACACTTACAACAGTGGACTGTGTCTCACTTTTTCACATGAAAATCGACACGATGTTAGTTCACAAAAACAAGGCCTAACCTATCCTAATATTTTTCATATTTACCTAATATTCTTATCTAATTACCGATGCAATTATTTCAATAACACTCACTTCGAAATGGTCAAAGTACAGCAAAGTACAGTGAACTCGTCTAAGAAATACCTTTTATAACTTTTAAGAATAACTTTTTCACCCAGTTAAGCTCGACAAAACGCGAATTCGATCGTGACAAAAATCAGGTCAGTGACACGAGGGTCGCGGCACGATGAAAAATAATTTCGCACGTCGGTCATTTCCGTGGCTACGACGGCACGGGGGGTCGCGTCAAAGAAGAAGGAAGCGAAACGGGGTCAAGGAATATTAACCCCGACCACGGAGACACGAAGTTTAACGGGTGACTCGTAGTGAGACATTACCCTTATGTAGCGCAGCCGTTGGCATCGTAAACCGGCGTTTTATGAGACGCGTCACTGGTTCCGGCTGCAACTATTTACCTACATATGTACTCTCCCGTTCGTGAGTATAATATTAGGACACTTGCTGAATATGAAGCAAACCTGAACGGTCATTACAAGATTATTAAGATCCTAAACTGAATTGTTTTCAGAATGGAATCTCGTCGTGCAATGAGTACATGCGGTTACTTCAATTAATATTCGGACACTCTTTGGAACAGTGTAACCTTTTTTAAACTGTACCAAACGAGTTGAGTTTTGTTTTTTTAGAAGTTAGAAGGATTAGGTTAACGTTGCTACAAGCTATGATATTCATGATTTTCGGCCTATGACTATAATAGATCTAAAGATTCTTTCATCTTTCGATGCCTATCGCTTGTTTCTGCATCAACCGATTTCGATGAAATTTTCAACAAGTGTATAATTGACACAGATCTACAAAACGTGTGTTTTAAATTTTCACTACAAGCTCGGATAAAAAAGTTGTAAAGAGCGACCTTTACAAGTTTCTTCGCGATTCTCACAAATTGCAATTTTTTCAAAGTTTTCTGTACTATCGTTTGGTCAAATTTGAGAAAAGTTATATTGTTGTAAAGAGTGTCCGAATATTAATGGGAGTGAGCGCATCTGCGCAATGCGTGTCGCCATTCAACTTGCTTCAGTTTCACCGAGAGATTCATACATATTTAATTTCTTATGCAACGAAACATTCCCACGGCATCAATTTTTCCCTAACGACTGTCGAGTTCACAGTATCGTCGCAACAGATTGAATTAAACTTCGCGGAACCATTATGGAGAACGTTGAAGGCTTTAGGATTGATTAATATGAATGCCGAATATTTTTCCGAAGATTCGTGTTAGGGAATAACGATTGCAAGATTTTGGCTCTTTGGTTCTTTGAATTTTTATCGAGACACAAGAAAATCATTTCACTCAGCTGGGAGTATTTATGTGGACAGGTTCTTTTACACACTGATTGATAATTCTTTCAAGTTAATTTAAATTAGTTATTATTTAAATATTTGTTATTTTTAAGAAATACCTGTGGTTTCAAAAGTACTATGTTCGACAATTATTAGAGGAGATGGTCCAAATATGGGCTAATCAATATTAGAATTCAGGCTTTAAATATTAGAATTAGAATAGGCTTTTTCATATACCGATTGATAATTCTTTCAAATTAATTTGAATAGCAATATCTACCATTTGCAAAAATACACGTTCGACAATTGTACCTTTCTACGAACAGTACGAGTATTCAATTTTTTTCATAGTAACAAAAAACTATAACTATGTGTTAGTTATACGAAATAAGATGTATCACTAAAAACTACAAATGTATTAATTCAATCAAACTTAAACTTTATGAAACGACACAAATACCTAAACACAAAAACCATAACTACCGTCAATTGTTATCGTATTGTAAGAAGCTTACAACGGTACTCCAACAAAGGATCACGTTTTTCCCTGGCAATATCCAGCGTATTGCCAAATTGAAGAAATACGTGTATCCTAGAAAAACGTCAGGTATAAAAATAAACTGGAAGAGAGACGTGAGAGGGAAAAAGATGCAAAGAGTAGATGGGGCTCCAATTAAGGGGCGTATGTACGGAGGGTCGTAAGTGCCACGAGGACATCGTTACAGCTCCAAGATCGCCATTATGCCGCGACAAGGACGACCCTAACGACGCGAGCCTTCGTGATTTATGGTCCAGCGAAAATGTTCCGTAGAACGCCGCGGATTATGTATCTAACGGGCAACTTTCCCGAGATACTTTGCAAGGCTAGATTAAGAGAAGAACGGGGCCGCTTTTTGTCCTCTAGCTACCTTCGACAAGATTAACTCTACGACACCGTAATATGCAACTGTTCGTGAGTCGAGTGGGCTTTTCATTAACCGTTTCGACTATACGATCGGTTAGCGCTAATAAAGGCTCTATCTCTGTGATCAGTGGAATGTTTTGTTCTAATGAACAATAAACCGTGGCGTTTATAGAAATTTATATAAAAAGACAGTTCTTTCGTCGAAATATTTATTCAAAAATATTTAACAAAAATTACAATTTAACGACATTTATTAAAATTCTCCGAAGACGTAAAATCTCTATAGTTTCGAAGAATTGTGAAGAGCGCGGTGTATTAGTTTGCAGGAAACACAATGTAGGCGAACTTTTAAAGACTATTATCTACCATCAACGTCACTGATAAAACACAGCGCAATCAGACCTGGACTTTGATGGGAAATGTAAAACAGTCACGTGAAACGTGTACCATCAGAGCTACCTAGAATATTACAAGTCTATAATGACGAAGAACAAAAAAGGAAACAATGTGTCAGGCATAGATTCGCGACTCATTGTTCGCGAAATTTCACGATCCTCCCGGAAAATCGTAATTGCTTCGAACAAGCTGGACGAGTTCAAAGTGACTCTATTGGTATTTCAGTTTGCCGCATTTAACTGCACTTGAGAGAATCATAATTTGGACGATACGGGTTGAAATTACAGCGGTTTCGCAGAACCGCCACGTGTAATAACTGAACCCGTGGTCACTGGAAATGTTGTAATTTAATATTTAACGGTCTCTACGCTCTTATCAGTGACCCCCGCCGTGAAGAAACGCAGATCCTATATGGCATTCTACCTCATGAGCAATATTACAGCTTAGGGGTCAGATGCTTTCTAACCAGAAATAGAACTTGACGGTTGCAAATGTAGCTTTGTTCAAATTCATACGACTGTTCTAGAGCAGGGGTCGGGAACCTTTCGGAGCCGAAGAGCAATTAACGTACAATAATAAAATTTAGGGAGCCGCAATTTTAATTTAAGTTTAAATTTTTCATTTAAGAATCGCGTCGAAACATTTACTTTACCGACGCATTATAGTCATTTTTTGGGGAGTAACTGTCGGTTCTGTGGTGGCAACAGCAGATTTTTATTAAACATTTAAGAGCCGCAGGTTCTCGACCTAACCTGTAATACCATCTGATGTTACAAATTATAATCCACCTTTAATAGCTTTAATTACTTTACTTTATCGTCATTGCTAAAGTTACTAGAAAAGCAACGAACCATATTTCCAATAAGTACGTCTAAATAATTCCCACAATTACGTTGAACTTCAAGACGTAATTTTTCAGAACAGCTAATTAGAAGGATAAAGAATCAGTCGAAATCAGACCGGAGCTAATTTCAGTTCTAGCTATATACACACGACCTCGTTAAAAAGAAATTCGAAAAGAAGCGAGACCGCCGCAACGGCGTTTTAAAGGGCACAATTCACCTCCGGTTCAGGTAAAGTGTCAGAGTCACGCGAACGCGGTGGCAACCGTCCATTATCCCCGCCTCTGAACGAAAAACGGGGAACCGATAATCGCCAGGGTCCCCGTCAAATTCTCGTTACGGTTGATTAGCGGAGATCCATCGCGCGCGTTGTCTCACTTTGAGCGGTGTCCGCGTGCACGCGCCAACTGATTTATCGGTGACACCGAAGTAGTCAGATCAAAGGGTATATATTCTAGGAGGGCCGGCTAGAAATTGCTGCCACGATTGCTCTTCGACCCTGACAACCATCGGCCGGGCACAGAGATATGTATGTATATATATACGCGCGTACAAAGACACATTTACTCACCTGACACGGTCAGATGGACAGTTCTGATTAATGGAGGATGAGCACTGACTTGACACTCGTACAGGCCGCCGTCTCGTTCGATAGCCGAGCTCAAAAACAGCCGCCAATCATTTGGCTTCTCAAAGGCCAGCGAGAACCTCGAGTCGCTCGCGTACGTGTCCCGACCGATCGTGAGCAAATGTAGCTCGTCTCCACGTCTGCGAACCCAGGACACCTGGAATCAAAGAAACAAATCGTCCATGTTTACTCTACGATCCGTGGTAAACAAGAATCTTCTCGATACAAAAATGAGCATTACAAGAGTTATACATTCGCCGCAAATACACTTTGGAGATTTTCAACAAAGATCTACGAGTCAAAATCGAATAAACAGAGTATTGGAAATGGGTGATTGAATTTATTCCTTACTCTTTGAAATACTCTGTCGAACTGTCTCTGGACGCCTAAAGGGGAAAGCTAGGATCAGCTTCTACCTGCGAACTGTTTATCCGATTGTATCGCAGTGTGCAGTGCTTGACTCGAAGACGAACACCAGACACATCTGGTGGAAGTCCTAGTGTCTTTGTCTAAAAGAACGCCGAGACATTTTTCTCCTCGCTCGATTATTTCTACATGGTGTTCTTAGAAATAATTCAACACAGCCTCGTAACGCACACACCTATGCAATCTGTAGCTAATTAAAACTCGATTACCCAGTATGGAGTACGAAAGTATGAATCTGGGAAGTTTAAGAAGAACCAACTCCACAATTCAATCTCTCGAAATTTAAATATCGTACGGAAACAGACAAAGGGGAACGCGTGCGACATTCGCCAGATAAAAATAGTTCCAAGGATGACTTTGCCGACGCGTAAAGAGAGCGACGTGTATCGACGCTTCTGTGCAGCTTATGTCAAAGGAAAGAGTATTCCTGAGAGAGATTCTGTGATAGAGATGGGGCTTTCGCCTGAACCGCGCGCCGTATCAATCTCAAACGCGAAGTCAAGTTATAGCAATGTAAATTTAATGTAAATCGGACGTCCTGTCCGCGTAGCTACACGCTGCGTATTCCAACTGAAATACCATCGTCCCCGTAGACGATGACTGGGATATCCCTCCCTCCCTTGATGTATGCCTTCCGAGATAATCACCTTGCACATTTCACGTGGCTCAAAGGGAGCAGGGTGTCGCAAAAGAGGGCAGCAAGTACGCAGAAAAACCCTCGAGAAATGAAAACTTCGTTGAGAACAACGCGACCAAGGTGTTGTGATATCAAAGCGTCCTAGATTTCATCTAAAAGCCAGGCGCAAACAAGGTCCGTCTCTTTCTGGAAGTGCAGAAGAAACGCGGAAAGTGCAGGTGCCTTATTTTCACGAAATTCACTCAAGATCGAAACGATTGAAGTCGCCCTTGAGCATTTCAATTGCGCTAATTGTGCCTTTTCCGGGACAAGCAAGTAGTTTCTGTTAAAATCTCGACATACACGTTCCGTGTTCCGTGAAAAGTAAGTGCTTTTACGCAACTTTGAAACAAAGTCGAAAAGCTGTGTCAGAGTATGTAACACTTTCTCAGCTACTGACGTAGTACCACGTTTCTTTTGTAGTTTATCATGTAGTGCAATGGAAGTTTCACTTGAACGTGTTCTACTCTGTTTTCCACGCTGACTTTTTCACTCTGATTTTTCCACACTGACTTTTCCACTCTGACCTTATACACTGACTTCTCCATTCTGATCTACTACATTGACTTTTCCACTCTGACCTCATACACTGACTTCTCCATTCTGATCTACTACACTAATTTTTCCACTTGACCTACTACACAGACTTTTCCACTCTGACCTACCACACTGACCTTTGTACTCTGACCTACTATTATACCTTAACTTTTTCACTCTGACCTACCACACCGACTTTTCCACTCTAACCTCGCGCACGCACCTCCCAGACTCTTTTATCTTTACACTTGCACGTTCTTTCCCTCTTTCTCTCGGTATCGCTATTTTTAGGTATTCAGTCACATCCACCCAAATCCTTGAATGGCCGCGCACCCTTCCTTCACACGATATTCTCAAGAACTCAGACCCAAACACTCTTCTTCCGCACCTCATCACTCTGCATAGCTCAAGTATTCTCCGTTCATGCAACTCTCGTTCTAAAATTCCATCACTCCTACACTATCTCCAATATGTTTAATTTGAAGAATGGTAAAGCACTTCCGTAACTACGAACCCCCGTAAAAATTCGCCCTTCTCGCAAACAATTCCCAAAGAGAGTACGCAAGAGTGCGTTCCCCACGACGAAGAAAACCGATAAAAATCAAGTGCAACAGAACTCTTCGTCAAGATCTACGGCACAGTAGCGCGTTACTTATCCGTAACCCATTATAACTCGTTCAAGGATTAATCTATTATAGCCTTGGGGCCAGCTGCGACGATTTCGAGGCTCGAGGCGGAACGTCTCGCGGAAATTCCGCCGGTACAATTTAATACAGTGCTCGCAGTCGGTGTTCCCGTAGTTTGATACGAAGGAGTTAAAGAATCGTTAAGCGCGGCGGGGGTTGCACGAACGGAGACCGGTATTTCGTTCCATTGCACCGGCCGACTGCTCGATGCACAAAGGACAGCTTGAACAGGCAGCTACAGTCATTTGTCATTATTATAAAGGGCTCAGCAGTGAATAATTACATCTTAGGAAACTTCGTGTCGGACGGCTACGCAACGTTTATCCGGATTTCTATGCATGCAGCCGTCTCTGACCCGGTTCCCCTTGCGATTTATACCGTCTGGTATTGTTAATTGAAATCCTGTGTTCTGTTTTGCAACGTTCAGCCGGACCCCTAAGTGAAAAGTTCGTTTCGCGGGGCTGAAAGGAAGCGAACCCGGGGATTCAGATCCGCAAGAGTGGAAATCTGTCGAGGCAGATATCATCGTTCGAAGAATGTTTCGCGAACGATTACGAGACTTACAGAAGCTTCGATAATGCGACTTCGCGTGTCGGAGTTTGTTTTGTTTTCCACGGATACTGTGCACAAATCACGCTGACCATTCGTGTGCACACTTTTTGCTGAAGAGGTTGGTGACACTACCGATGTATTGCAATTAATTCCACTGATTGGAAATTATATGGGAAATTAAAGGGTTACATCTACCGACAATTAGCATCGTGCAAGTTTAGAATTTTAAAATGTAAAAGGCAACGTGAAGGTTTAGAATTTTAAAATGTAAAAAGCAACATAAAAATTTAGAATTTTTCTAAACATTACAAGTTAATGCAAATGTACACTGATCCATCATTCGTGGAAGATAATTAAATTAACGTTTTTAATCACTGTTTATGAGAAGAGATATGAAAATTGAAATAAAATGCAACGTGGAGAAGAAATTGGTATTATTTCACGATAAAGTAAATTTCAATAATGTACATTTTACAAATGGATTACCGACAGTATTAATTTGCGCGAAATCAAAAGGCTGAACGCGTACTTCGCTAATTTCAAATTTCAAATTGCAGCACGACGAGATGTGACTACGCGCATTTCAAGTAAACAATTACGACTTAATTAGAAATATTACGTCAAAGCGTTTAATCATAACCAGGAAAATAACGATGAAACAATCGGGAAATATGAAATCTGCTTCGAAATTAGAGTAATTCTCGATATTCCGTATTTTAGAATGCGCATTCGTCAGAAGCAATATTTGAATATTTCATGCGTACGCTAAATCGATTAAAACAGAGCGAAAAAAAAAGAGAGAGCAAGCATTCGGAAATCAATAATGTATTTTCGAGTATCAATATTTATCTTTCGTATCGCAATATTCAAAGCAACGCGATGTGAAGATAGTTAAAAAAAAAGAAACGATCACGCATCAATTCGTCGACGTTGTTTTAAGATTGACGCATTAATTAATCCCCGATTAAACAAAAATATAATATCCTCCCCTAATTTTTTGTTTTTAAATACGGAAGAAATCGAAAGAATTGAAACAGAAAATCAAAAAAAGTGTGAATAATTGAGACTTTACGATTTGAAAAACAGCAAATGGCTGAAAGCACCCCTTCTGAAGATATGCAATCGTGTTCTCGTAATTTTTAAATTTAAATACGGAAGAAACGAAGAGGATCGAGCCAGAAAATTAGAAAAAATGTAAATAATTGAGAATTTCACGATTTTAAAAGCAGCTCATGACTGAAAGCATCCCTTTCATTGGGCGATTCGTTAATTCTGTATCGACTCGACGTGTAGCTTCCTTAATCGATAGCGTTTTATGATCATTGCACAGAGAGAGAGAGAGAGAGAGAGCAGCTTTTGTAATCAAGGATGCAAGAGCTGAATACAAAGTACCCTCTGCTCGTTAAATTCTTCTGTCTTTAAACGAGACCAGCACAAGATACGATGGGAGATCAATTTTTGTTAATTCCTTTGCTCGTAACTTTAATTACGAGAAAAGGAAAGATACGGTAGAAGTTACAATTTTTATTCAACATTGCGAAACAACATTTCAATGTTAGGCAAAGCGTGAATCTTTTTTGTGACTAAAAAAAGTAAACAAAGAACGGGGCACTTTTGTCGGGAAAGATTAGCCAATTCTTTTCATTTTTATCAAATGAAGAAAACAGCCAAGTGAAGTTTCAATATAATAATCATAAGGTTTTATAAACATTACTACGTGCTTGGAATTAATTGCTCTACAGTTACTGGAATTCAAAGGATAACGCACTTAGGTAAAAATGAAAAGCTGCTACATTATGGAAAAAATTAATTAATTAAAATACATAGGCATATATGTTAGCACAACTTAAGTAAACGTAACACACGAGAGGCTATTAACGGGAACGTATTATTTTATAAATAAGCGGCTGTTAAGGTACTCGGGTGTCCGTCTCGCTCGACGACTATATTAAGAGTGTCCTCTCCGCGTCCTATCCTGAGTTGCCCCGAAAAACCGTTGGAGCCCCCTCGTTCGACTTTCCGGGGAAATGGCTTAGTTTATGGTACCCTCAGGTACCCGCGCGCTTTCTCTTCCTGGGTGACAAAGTCCAGGCCACCACTTCGCCGCCGAAATCTCGCATTTCTTACACATAATTAGCTAGAGTGGAATTTCTTAGGAATAAAAGCTTGAAAAAAATATGAAGTGTATATTTATACATACTTTATGCATATTTTTCTTTTTTACGATTCATATTGCGTATACAAATCTTAGTGATTAAAAAGTATTACGCGTCTAAACGA